ATTTATTTGAAAACATCTCTATTTCATGCTTCTTTCTTTTTTCTCTCGCTTTTCTTGAGTTGTGGTCTCACTATGTTACCCAGGCTGGTCTTGAACTCTGGTCTCAAGTGATCCTGTCTGCCTCAGTGTCCTGAGTTACTGGAGGATCCTCTTGATTCTGTCAGGCTTTTTTGTGCTTTGGTGTTATGCTTTGTTTTGTTTTTAGGCTTACAGGTTGCCCTTACATTTAGAGTGTGGTTCCTATTCTCAAAGTACAGGCTCGTTACAGCTTTCCAAATGCTCCTTAGGGAAACTTTTCTTACTGTGGTTGGACAGAGATCCAGTATCTCCAGTGCTGCATGCCATGTTACTTCATCTCACCTTGTGGCCCTGCAGCAGTTGCTAGGTGCTATGATGTCTCGCCTTTGCACACAGCCTGACTCTTTAAAGAGGCAGAGGGAAATCCCCATGCAGATTTCTGCACCTTCCTCTATAATATTCTGTTCTACAGATTCTAACATCTCAGCAGCCGAAATTCTGATTTCTGCCTCCTCCTCTCGCGCAAACTGCTTGTGCATGTATATCCCTTACTTCAAGATTCATACCTTTGTGCTTCTTATTGTTGCATGCTTGCAAACATTCACCTCATTTAATTTGTTCATATTTATAACTTTAGGATGTAATAAGTCAAATACTCATTATTATGTTATCCTAGCAATGGAAATCTCTAGTGTTGTTTTAAAATTAAATAAATGCCTAACTTTAAAGGCACCTGGCTTCATTGACCAGAGTCATATGAGAACATTGTCTTAGTAGTTGCTGTAGTGGGGCATGGTGTTTACCTGCCTGTAAGCCCATCTACTATGGAGACTTGGGCAAGAAGATCCCAAATTCAAGGCCAGCCTGGCCTGTTTGGTGAGACTTGTCTCAAAATTTGAGAGACAGAGACAGAAAGAGTGTGGGCTGTAGCTCAGAGGTAGCATACCCCTGTGTTGAATACCCCCAAAAATGTCTTTGTGGACATGTACTTGTATTTTTTGGAGAGTGGAGATAGTCCATTCAGGCTTCAGAATAATTAATATTTCATCTTTCTTTGAGTTGTTTTTGAGGGGGGATGTTGTGCTTGGTATTGTTCTGTTTGTTCAAGATAGAGTCTTACTATGATGCCTCTGTTGCCCAAACTAGTTTCTCAGTCTCCCAAGTAGCTGGAATTACAGGCGCACACTGCTCTTGTGTTTACTGTCTGGGATTTCTTTAATAAGGTCATTTGCTGATCAAATTTTTATGAGTCCTCTAAAATCTATGTAAATATGCTCTTTTAGGACTCTTAGGATGAGTTCACTATGTATTCAGGGGACTTAATAAATTGATTAGGGCCAGTAAGTTTTCCTGAATGTGTTTTTTTCCCCTTAAACTGAATCTTGGATCAGTTATTCTAAGTGTAAACACTTGACTTTGCCAACTGTAAACACTGCAGTATGTACTGAGCATTTTCTGTGTGCTAGAACTATATCATCCATAAGCAAACATTCTTAATTCCCATTAAAACCCGCATTGCTTGTGCAGGATAAATGGCATTATCTATATTTTTCAGGTGAGAGTTGAGGCTTAGAAAAATTAGTTTACCCAAAGTCATATATGTTGTATCTTTTTAGTTAAGCTTACTATTGTCTTCCCAACAAGAATATCAGCTTCAAACGGGGCATGGTGGTGCACACCCGTAATCCCAGCACTCAGGAGGCTGAGGCAGGAGGATCGTTGTGAGTTTGAGAACCAGACTGGGCTACAGAGTGAGCTCAAGGCCAGCCTGAACTGCATAATGAGACCCTGTCTCAAAAAAACAAAAAAGAATATCCAGCTTCATAATGTAATAACATTTCTTCTGTTCACTGCTGAGTCTCAGGAAAATTTTTTAGGGCTGTGTACTGAAGAATGGTCCAATTTCTACACTGATAGCTCTTTTTTATAAAGAGTGCAAAAACAGTAGTCTGATAAAACTTTCTTTGGGCTGGGGATGTAACTCAGTTGTTAGAGCACTTGCCTAACATGCAGGAGGTTCTGGGTTTGAACCCCAACACCACAAAGGAAAAAAACTCTGTGTACTTTAGTGACTGATAATGTTGTGTTTTATCTTTGTGATAAACAAGTTTTATTAATTCTCATTTTATCTTTGGTACTTTTCCTTAATGATAATTTAATCAGTAATGTATATTTTATCAGCACAGTTTTTTGTTACTGTATACTGGTGGTGGTAGTGTTACAGTGCTAGAGGGATTAAGTCCAGGAACTTGTGCACTGTATCACTGAGCTATATCTCCAGGCCATAGCAGTCTATGTATTGATCATATTTTCTGACAGCACCATGTTATTCTCTGTTGACTGGTATGTATGTATGTATGTTTGTTTGTTTGTTTTTTTGGTTCTCTTATTCTCAACGAAGAGGACTAAGGTAAAATACAGAGATAAAACTGCATTAATATCATAAATCATTGTTCCGATTTTTGTATTCTTTCCCACATCTAATTTTCCCCCACACTTTTATTATTTTTGTCTTTGAACTTACATTTATTACTCAGTTCCTCTTAATTTATTTGAAAAGTATGTATAGCGATTGACTTTCTAAATTTGTCTGAGAATTTACTCTATCATGTAATTATAAGAATGAACATCATAAAATCGTTTATAATGACAAGTTGGAAACCACATAAGGTGTTCATTAAATTTGTTATGTCCATAATATGTGATATATGCACATTAAAATGTTGATGCTGAACTATATTGGCATATAAAGAGAGCTGATTTTTTAAATATAGAAAAACAGGTTACAGGAATGCAAGTATAATATAATCTTATTATTATAAAGGAAAAATTAGATACTTGGGTGTTTATGGAAAAAATCAAGTCAGGTTTGGCAGCATGTACCAGTAATCCCGACTACTCTGGAGACTAAGGAAGAACGATCACCAGTTTGAGGCCAGCCTGGGCTACATAACAAGTTCAAGGGCAGCCTGGACTGTACAGCAAGACCTGGTCTCAATCAGTCAGTCGATCCATCAGAGAAAAGCCTACCCTATTAAGGTTTTAAGGGCTGTACAGTCCTACTCTGTCACTGCTGTATCACTTCTAAACCCATCTTGGTGTTTTATAAAGTCCCTTTTGAATCTAGCTTTGCTTTACATAACTAAGTCATAGTTTTTCCTCAAATAGTCACCAGATATTGAGTAGGAGGCATTATTATATGAAGCTAAGGTCATGAATGATCACTTGTTTAGTAATGGAGGCACCGGTCTCTCTTGCGATTGTGTAGTAGAGAAGCCAGCTATGATCAACAGAGTTGTACATTATGACTGACTTCTTCTCTCCCTATTTCTGTCAGATGCTTGGTTCCCTCACAGTCTGCATGCAAATAAAAATTGTATTGTTAAACCTGTCAAGTGCCGTTCTGCTAAGATTTTGTTCTTAGCTGTTTTGTGTACCAAATGTGTGTTAGGCATTGCAGATAACAGTAGGAACAAAGTAATGGGAACAAAGTGAGATACAGAAAGCCTTGACTTTCTGTAAATTTGAGTGATGTGCTCCCTTAGAGTAAATTTCAGACTTCTTGGTACTTAGGTTTAGAAACTATGTAATAATAAATGAAAATAAAATCATTGAAATAAACTTTGAGGATTGTAAGAATAACTTAGGTACACCAATTAGGACTGCCTAGACTATGACCTATTAATACACACTTCCAAGTTACATAGAACAGGAAAGGTTTATTTATTGCTCCCTTCATAGTCTGATACAGGTCGAGTGGTTCTCTTTGCAGTGCTGCTCTGAGCAGTGACCCCTTCCATTTTATGATGCCACCATCATCACGTCGCATCCTAAGATGTAGTAGAAGGAGAAGAGAGACTGTAGATGATGTTTCCTTTGTCTGTAGTTATCTTATTTGCTGTCTGCCTTTCTGTCAAGTTCACCTGCCCAAGGTACAGTAGAGCAGTGATAAAGAGTAAAAAACTCACCAGACACGGTGGCACATTCCTGTAGTCCCAGCACTTGGGAGGCTGAGGCAGGAGGATTGTTGCAAGTTCGAGGCCTGCCTGGGCTACATAAGTGAGTTCAAAGCTAACCTGAACTGCATAGTGAGAACCTGCCTCAAAAAGAGAAAAAACAAAAACAAAAACAAAAAAGAGTAAAAAACTCATCGTTTTTCTTGTTGCCTTCAATTCTTAAGAGAAAATAATACCCCCACTCTAAGGTATGTATCTCTTTGTTAGTAAAGCCAATAATGCCCCGACTCTTAAGGTATGTATCTCTTTGTTAGTAAAACCCTTTGCACAAAACAAATTTTCCATCTCCATAATAAAATCTCAAATCACTGGAATAGTCATATTGAGGCTTTATGTAAACCTGAGGAACTGCTGGGTGTGGTGGCGCATGCCTGTAATCCCAGCACTCAGGAGGCAGAGGCAGGAAGATTGTTGGGAGTTCGAGACCAGCCTAGGCTACAAAGTGAGCTCAAGGGCAGCCTGTACTGCATAGCGAGACCTTGTCTCAAAAAGACAAAAAAAAAAAACTAAAAAAAAAAAATACCTGAGGAACTAAGGATAGTGTAATCCTACTGTTCTCTATAAGTGTCAGTTATTTGTACTCTCTGTATAAAGAGATGTCACTGTTGGAAATCACTGGATCTGAAAAGCTTAACTTACTTATCTATTCATCAAGTCACTGTCAAGTTTCTGTTACATACCAAACACTATGCCTGGTTTTAAGGATACAGCAGTCAAAAAGACAGAGTTTGTACTACCACGGAAAGTGTTATATTCTGGTCAGATTTACTATCACCAAAATCTGTGTTGGATGGTACCGTATATCAATTAGGAACCACAAACAAGTTAGTCAGTATTATTAACTCTAAAATTTACAAGATTAGAATGGGCATCATAGGATTAGTGCAGTGTAAATACATTCATGATACTGGTTTGTACAAATCATAATATCAGTGGGAATAATGTGGATATATTTTTTTCTTACAGCTTTAAGGAAGCCCCCTGTTTTAGTTCCTGAGCATGAAAATCATCAGACAATCTCCCATCTTCCAACTGGACAACCTCTCTCCCCAAATATTGCTCCAGGTATGAAGTCTTATTCATAGCATTGTGCTTGAAACCAATTTACTGTTCTATTTGTTTGTGTTACTGAGTATTGAACCTGGGACCTTTATACTGAGCTATATTCCCAGCTTTTTTTTTTTTTTTTTTTTCTTTTCAGATAGGGTCTCACTAAGTCACTGACTTGCCCACGGTGGGCTTAAACTCACAATCCTCAGCCTCACAGAGTGCTGGGATTATGGGTGTGAGCCACTGTGCCTAGCTTTGGTTATATACTGTCACCTAGTAGCTAAAATATGTCATGTAGCAACAGAGTTAAGTGGGGTTTTTTGTTTTTGTTTTTGTTCTTGTTTTTGTTTTTGTTTTGAGATAGTGTCTTGCTTTGTAGATTGGGTTGGCCTTGATTTGACTGTGTAGCCCAGTGTAGGCTCAAACCAGCAACAGTCCTCCTGCTTCAGCTTCCGGAGTGCTGGGATTACAGGAGTGTGCCACCACACCAGGCTAGCATTTATTCTTTAATGTTGTATATTTCAAATGACTGGTAAAAACTCAGGGAGAAATCATGTAAAACTGTATTTTGTTTAGTATGTTCATATAGTTTTTCTTAAAAGAATATTGAACTATATTCTCTTTTATCTCTGCAAGACCATATATACTTATTTTCTCCAAAATGTGTTCAGTTGTCTCATACGCATACCTACTATAATCACCTACCTTAAATCACACTTATGAGCATACTTTGATTAGTACTGACACCTGTTAGATTTTCTATAAATGTCCTAAAGTGAGAACTGACATGATTGAAAAGGACCTTCCTGGGGAAATGATGGAAAGGAAAGAGAGAAATCCATGGCACAGAAATTTCTGATTATAAAATTAAGGATCTGAATCAAGATGTGGATAAAGGAACAGAAGGGGTGAGGGAGAGGTTACCTTAAGGAGTTGCTAGTATGAAAGCATCCAGAATTAATAATTCTTAGCCTTTATTAGATAAAGATGACTTAAATATCATACCTTTGAGAGGTTTCTAAGAACAGTATGGACTTTGGAGGAAGGCAAAGACATGGCTTAATTGCTGTTTCTCTTTTTTTAAGACAGGGGCTTTGCAGTGTTGCCCAGGCTGGCCTTGAACTTGTAGTCCTCTTGCCCCAATCTTCTGAGTAGCTGGAATTACAGGCATATGCCATCACATGTCATTGTGTTATTAATCTTTGAGTTCTATGGTATATCTCTTTAGTAAATAAGTTTAAAAATAGTAATGGTGCTAAGTGTAGCGGTGTACACTTGTAATCCCAGTACTCAGGAGGCTGAGACAGGAGGATCATTGTGAGTTGAAAGCCAGCCTCGGTTACAAAGTGAGCTCAGGGCCAGCCTGAACTACACAGTGAGACCCTGTCTCAAAAAAAGAAAAGAAAAGAAAATTTCACATGATTTCAGACAGCTGTGTTTTTTAGTATTTATAAAATAACTCTTGCCGGGCATGGTGGTGCATGCCTGTAATCCCAGCACTCGGGATGCTGAGGCAGGAGGATTGTTGTGAGTTCAAGGCCAGCCTAGGCTACAAAGTGAGCTCAACGCTAGCCTGAACTGCATAGGAAGACCCTGTCTCAAAAAGAAAAGAAAAGAAAAAAAACAAAAAACAACTCTTACGAAATTCTTCTGTAAAAAAATTACATTCTACCAGGCATGGTGGTACACACCTGTTATGCAGCACTGAGGAAGGTGGAGGCCGAAAGATGAAATGTTCAAGCCCAGCCAGGGCAACTTAATCACTTACTGAGACTGTCCCAAAATAAAAAATTCTAAAAAAAGGACTGGTTCAATCCCTAATACCACCAAAAAAAAAAAGTTATTTTAATATGATGTTTTTATGCCATAGATTCACATGTAAACCACAATGGTAACCCGGGTACTTCAAAACAGAACCCTTCCAATCCACTTCAGCGTTTAAATCCTGGCTCAAACTTGGAGAATGAACCCAGAATTCAAACAGATACACTAAAGCAAGCCAAGGACAGAGTCGGTGATTTCCACAAGTTGAAGCAAAGTAAGGCAATTGATAAATATTTCGCTAAAAAAATTTCTTTAAATATAATATGTTTGTTTATAAGGGCAAATTAAGGTCTTCATTGTTTTACTCTGTAGTGAAGTATAGTAAAATTTCTGTAAAGAAAGTGTGATGATGTTAAAATTTAGGTTTTAAATAGATTATTTTAAAGACTACTGTTCTCCAGTGTTAAATTTCAGGTGAGTTGATACTTTTAAAATGCCATTATTTCTTTTTAATTTAATTTTTTTTGAGAAAATATGTACTTTTTTAGACTAATAGATGGGAACTTTGACTAGAGGTTTGGGAAAATTGGAGCATTCTTGGGGGAACTGCAATAGTAAGTGGCTTAATACTGCTTCCTTTGACTTGCAGCTTGCTTCATTTCAGTGGAGAAAAGTGAAGTATTCCATAATATTGTGTAATAAATCCATAGTATTGTACAATAAATCCATAGTACAATAAATCCATAGTAGTCCATAGTATTGTATAAATAAAGTATTATGCTTGATTATTTCAGAGGTATTGATTTAGTAATGAATAATCCTGCATAGCTATCTAGTTAAAGGAGTCTCAGGAAGAATAAGAAGAAATTCAGGTAGCAGAGAGAATTTCAAACAGCAAAGTGCCCCTTACTTAACAACTCCTTTCAACTGTGTCTTTCATGGTTTCTTCCTGTCTTCGTCTCTGAACAGACAGAATGTCTGACAGTTCTAGATTGTCTTTGTTTGGTGTTTGATGGCTTCTGTGGCAGCAGCTCCTCAAGCAGTGTGTAGGCAGTTACTTCTACACAGATCTAGATGGTGTTAGTATTTGTGAATTTATTCAGGATTTTTTTGTTGATCCTTTAACAGTTCATCACATTTCTACATATGTATGAATATTGCTTTTTGGTATTTTGTTTAAAGTATTACATGAAAACATTTGTATTTATGAATATAGCTAACCTTTTAAATGTAGTAAAAAATCCACACACACACCCCCCCCCCCAATCCTGTTGGGGAATTGGCCTGGAAACTTTTAATTCAATAAGAGATTTGTAGTAAGAGACTAACAAAATAAAATATCTTAATTTGGTCATTTAATATTTTCTTCTAAACTTAAAAATACCCTATAAAAATATTTATTGTCTCTTACTTTGGGAGGCTATCTATTTTTGGGTAAAAAATATAATTGAAAATAATTTCTGGGATTACAATTTATATTGAAATTATAAATTGAAAATTACAATTTATATTGAAAAGTGCCTTGAGTTCTAAATTCTTGCTCTAAATTCTTTAAGTATTATTAATATAATGGCATTGAAATCAACACATGTGCTATTTTTATTTGCTTTAACATTTCTTACATAGTGTTTTACTCATTAGTTACATACTTACAATTTTAAATATACACATACACATGCATTGATAGTTCACTTAGTTTTACTCTCTTGACTATGTAGGTCACTTTATATTTTCGCCTTTTAATTGTCATGACTGGTTTTTTTGTTTGTTTTTGTTTTGTGTTTTTTGTTTTTGTTTTTGTTTTTTTATGGGTTTTTTTTTTTTTTTTTTTTTTTTTTTTTCAAATTATTTCCTATGCTTCCTACTTTGGATGTTCTTTTAAAAATGTAGTCCCAGCCAGGAGTAGGGGTACATGCCTGTAATCCCAGTACTCTGAGAGGCTGAGGCAGAAAGATCCCCTAGCAACATCATGTCTCAAAGTAAAAAATAAAAAAGGGGTTGGGATGTTGCTTAGTGTGAAGGCTAAATTCAGTTCCTGCTACTGAAAAAAGCAAGTACAGTCCTGCTGATGTGGTAAACAGCTGTAATCCCAGCTAGGAGGTTGAGGGAGGAATACTGCAAGTTTAAGGCCAGTCTGAGAAATTTAGCCAGACCCTGCCCAAAATAAAAATAAAGTGGGTTAAGGATGTGGCTGAATGTAGAGTGCTTGCCTAGCCTTCTGAAGTTCTAGGTTCAATTTCCCTGGTACAGAAAAAAATGAAAGTATAGTTTTAAGGATGAAATTGCTAATTCAACATACTTGACTGGCTTTTTACCTCCTATTATATAGTATATTATCAGAATGTTCTTTAGAATAGTCTTATAATACCATTGGAGATATTTAAGTTTATCCATTTTTCTCTGACCTAACCACATTGATTTTTATGTTTTACTAAGGCATTTGGAATAGAGTGCTTGCTTAAAGATGTTTTAGTAAGAATTTACTTTCTGTTAGCCTATCTTTACTTTTTATTTTATCTTTTTTATTTCTGTTTGTTTTGTGGGTTTTTGTTTTTGTTTTTTGTTTTTGTTTGAGATAGGGTCTTGCTGTGTTGCCCAAGCTGGCCTCAAACTGCTGGGCCCAGATGATCTTCCTGACTTGGCCTTCCGCTAGCTGGGACGGTGGGTGCAGACCACTGTGCCAGCCAGCCTGTGTTTTTTATGTGAGAAATTTTATTATAGTTTTTTTCTGGTATATAACCTGTACATCAGTTTTGATCACTTAGCCCAAGAACTTCGTAGATTTGTTCTATTTATTTGTATTGAATCTTTCTAAATAATTCAGATACTAGCTTTTTATAAACTACCTTTATAAGTTTTATTCTTCTGCTGCCTTTCCTGACATTATGCTTTGTGTAAAAGGTTTTTCTTAATTAAAAATAATTTTTGTTGTCATAATAAGATTCACAAAATATACATTGCCATTTGATGTGTTTAGTATTGTGCAGTCATTATCACTTCTAGTTCCAGAACAGTCCTATCACCCCAAGAGAAAACCCCATTAACTGTTAAATAGTCTCTCCCTGTTCTCTACTATCCTGCAACAACTAATCTGCTTTTTGTCTCTGTGGATTCATCTATTCTGGATATTTCATATAAGTAGGATCATAAAATATGTGGCCTTTAGTGTCTAGCTTCCTAGCCTGTTTTCAAGGTTAAGCATGAAGCAGCATGTATCAGTATTTTATTCCTTTTTGTAGCTGGATACTATTCAGTTGTATGGATACATTTTGTTTATCCATTCCTCTGTTGATGAACATTTGGCTCTTGTGAGTAGATGGTGCGACTAAAAAGAGTCAGGCAGCAGAGGTCTTTGCTAGGCACCTGTTTTCATTTCTTTTGCTTATGTACCTAGATGTGGAACTGCTGAGTCATATGGTAATTCTATGTTTAGCTTTCTGAGGGATTGCCAAATGGTTTTCCAACAGCTGTACCATTTTATGTTTCTATCAACAATATACAAGAGTTTAAATTTCTCCCTATCCTCACCAGCACTATTATAGTCCTCCCTCCCCTTTTTTCTTTCCTTCTTTCTTTCCCTCCATCCTCTTACTTTCTGTCCAGTAGTATCACATTGAGCATTTTTGTTTGCTTGTTTTGCAGTGCTGGGGATTAAATCCAGGGCCTCACACATCCTAGGCAAGTTCATTGTGGTTTTGATTTCCATTTCCCTAATCACTAATGATATTGAGCATCTTTCCATGTACTTCTTGCCATTTATATATCCTCTTTAAAGAAGTATTCACTCAAGTCTTTAGCCTTTTTTCTCCTCTTATGCTAACTATATAGATCAGCCCAGGGTCTAACACACACTAACCAAGAGCTTTTGTCACATCCTATAGCTGGGCAGGGTGGCATGTGCTTATAATTCCAGCATGCTCCAGGGCTAAAGCCAAGAGAATCATAGGTTCAAGGCCAGCCTGGGCAATTTACCAAGACCCTGTCTTAAAATTTTGAAAAAAAATATTATAAAAAGAAAAAGAGTTCTGCCACTGAGCTGCATCCTCAGCCCAGATACTAATTTTTATTTATTTGTGTGTTTGTTTTGTTGGTGGTATTAGGGGTTGAGCCCAGGGCCTCACGCATGCAGAGCATGTGCTCTACCATGGAGCTTTGCCAGTTTCCTTTTGCCCAATTTTTAAATTAGGTTATTTGCTTCACAGTTGAGTTGTAAGAGTTCTTTACATAGTCGGGATACTAGACCCTCATTAGATAATTGACTTGCAAATATGTTTGCCCATTCTGTAGATTGTCTTTTCACTGTTTTAATAGTGGCCTTTGATACACAAAAGTTTTTTATTTTGATAAAGTCCATATTATCTCTTTTCTCTTGTTACTCATACTTTTGGTTCATCTCTATGAAACCTTTGCCAAAGTCACAGACGTGTTTTAATCTAAGAATTTTATAGGTTTAGCTCATATGTGGGGCGGGGGGTTCCCCTGAGACAGGGTCTTGCTACATATGTGTTCAGGCTGTCATTGACCTCACTATATAGCCTAGCCTGGCCTGGAACTCACAGCAATACTCCCACCTCAGTCTTGTGATTGCTGGGATTACAGGCATGCACCACCACACCTGACTAGCTCTTATATTTAGATCTTCGATCCATTTTAATTAATTTTTCTGTGTATGTGAGATAAGGGTCTAACTTCATCCTTTCATTATAGATATCCATTTATCTAAGTACCTTTTGTAAGAACACTCCTCTTTCTCCATTGTGTGATCTTGGTATCTTTGTGAAAAAATCAGATGACCACAGATGTGTGAATTTACTTCTGGTTTATTACTTATCTTTCACTGGTTTTTATGTTTATCCTTATGTTGGTAATAAACATAAATATTATGTTATTTGTAAATTAAGAAGTATGAGGCATTCAACTTTGTTCTTTTTATACAGTTATTGATTTATCTATGCTTTCTTGCATTTGTATGTGACTTTTAGGATCTGTTTTTCTACTAAAAGCACAATTGGGATTTTAATGGGAATGGTTGAATGGTATTGAATCTGTAGACCAGTTTATAGAGTATTGGCATCATAATAATATTAACTACATCATCCATTCAATGAAGATGGTATGTCTTTCTGTTTAATTAAGTCATCTTTAATTTTTTGCAGCAATGTTTTATAATTTTCATATTAAACTTGGTTAAATGTATTCCTAAACATTTTATTCTTTTGCTGTTCTTAAAAATCAAAGTTATAATATTTTTTCTGATTGTTCATTGAATAGGAC